AATCCATTTAGAACGATTGTCCATGAGTTAATCAATGTTTAAAGTAATAAAAGTTTTGAATAGTGCGTCTACTTTTTTAGCGGGTGTGTTTAAAATGGTGAACGCCGATTGGGCGCATTCTAGGATGCGCCATGGCACGCCCCATATAGATTGTCAGGATTTTTACGCTAAATATTCGAAGGCGACCGACGGGAGCTGAGTGAACGAAGATGCTTACTATGACAATATTGTATCCATAGTTACAACATTTAATTTTGAATTTCTTAAATTAATGAAATTTTTGTTAATGACCCTCAGCGTAATAGCCAAAACAGTTATTTGGTTTAGTGTTGTGTAGTTTAATTTCTAATCTATCACTGTCTGAACTATCGTCATCATTAGATGACTGCATATTGTTTATATGTCAATTGTATTGTATTTGAATGGAATTGAATTCAAACAGAAATGTTAGTTTAATGTCAATTGCAGTAAATAATTGCATTTTCATTAGACAAGTTTGACTGGTCTCAGGTGCATGTATTCCTTTTGCTTTTCTCTGGGCTCTTACTGCGGCTGGAACTGTCTACAATAATGCAATGAAACAAAACTTATGTCCTCAGATGCTCCCCTCTTGTGAAGCTGATCAAACAAACTTAGGTAATTGGTCATTCGCATGAGTGCGTCAGTCACGTATAGTTACCCTGGTAAACAACCACTCAACCATAATCATGGGTTAGATTGCCATAGAAGTGCGTGACATCTTGCTGAATATCATATTAGTATAATGTTTTTCATTTTCATTTGTTTTAAGCCTGCATATGCTAAATCAGTCAGTTGTGAGTTAGCATTAGTAAGTGAACATATTTTCTTTTAAGAATCTCTGGCTAGCTTCTGTTTTGTTTCACTGTGATATCTTAAGAACTGTCAATCAGATTATACCTTTTTACCGGAGGCATGGTATGATTGATGAGCTTATCTTTTAGTGGGTTAAAAGCTGATTTTTAGCACGATGGTATGTAGTTAATTCTTTTGGTGTAGCCTATTTTCTGTAACATTTGTTCAAATGTGCATCTAATTTGCAAAAAGTTCGGAGAGTTCGGAGTTTTATCTTTCATTACCGTGTTCTATCTTGGACGATAAGGATGCGCTGTGTTTATTCCAAGACACGGATGTCTATTTTTGTTTAGAAATAAATCTTAACTGGTTTTATTTGTTTTTTATCTGTTTAATTCTGACGTTTCCTGTTATATCATTCCCAAAATTTACCTGTAAAATAGGTGTTTATGACTAGAAATCTTCATTACCATATATGTGGTTGCTACAAGTTAAATGTAGTCTTCTGGCATTGAAGCAACAGTAATGCTCCTAGTTGGAAGATCAACAATAGCATTGCACCCATTCACCAGTGATAATTTGATCAGTCCTGTTTTTGGTAAAATAGGAAATGTTACAAAACACTTCTACTCTAGGATTGAGGAGTTCACACCAAAGTTTTTGCTTTAGTCACTTATGGATGGTAACCTGAATCATATGAAATGAAATATATGTTGCCTGAGTGGTTTACAGATAACCACTTTAGATAGTAGATGACCTCTTTAGTATGTTGCACCAGTCAGCTATATATTTACTTATAAATTATAGAATATAAGTTATCCATTTGCTTATCACTGATACTCTGTTTACATGTACCAGCCCAACTGATTATATTACTACCAAGATTTTGTGTCTTATGGTTGGTGACCCATTTGATATTGAGTTGGTTAACCTGAGTGATGATCCAATCCCCAGCTATACAATGGTGCATCTTCTTGAAGCAGGCTTAGTTTGACCTTAAACTCAATGCTAAAATGTGAGTTAATAAGAGACTGGACATGAGGGAGTAAAGTGAATAGAGGGGGTAACTTTTGATAGTTACTCCCCTCCATTCACTGTAATATTTTGAATATTTTTTCTTAACATTTTGTAAGTCAAAAAAAAACCAGCAACATCATTTATTTATTTATTTTGTGATGATTACTTTATCTACCTGGTAAATGCATTTATTGCAGGCCATGTAGACTACCATTGCTTGAGTTTTAACAAAAATATTGACTTTTGCATGCTGGTGTTGTTGCACTTTTTGAAATAGATCTCACTCCCTAGAAGCGTATCAGTTAAGAAAAATCATTGTAAACCTTACAGATTTGACCATTCTCTGTGCCTATTCACTTAGCAATTATTCGTAAACTTCCTCATGAAAAAATAAATCCCCCTCCGTTCATTTTTTCTGATTACCAGGCGTGTCAGCTATATAACCCTTTGAACATTAAAACATTTTGGTTACCTACTTTAGAACTTTAAATCCCTTATGTCCAAATTTTTCTTTTGATTTACGTTTTGTTTGGGTTGAAACTATTTTCAGTCTTTTGGGCTAATTGCAATAACATGTATGCAAAAAACTGCTTTGCCTTCATTTAAAAGGTGGATGACCCCTTGAGGTTTTTTGTCTTGTTTTACTTATGAATTACAATTTCAACAAACTCAGTAATGAATGATGATTGATATTAGGTTTGAAGTTTTTGTATATGTGCTAAGTAGCTTTAAATCTTGCCCTTGTGTTTTGTGTTGTCTGAGCATTGCCATAGAAATTATAACAATGTAATATATTATATTTTATTAGATCTCTGGTGATGATCATTCACATGTTAGAAACAAATTAAAGTTGGTTATATATTTCTCAAGAAAATACTTTCTTTTATACATTATACATAACTTCTTAGAAATATGAATGCAGACATTTTGAAATACTAGCAGGTTTAAAGATTGATGCATTTACCTCTGCAAATTGAGACAGCCTTAACTTTTGTAGCTTTGAGAGAATGATTACGATGGTGTTCAGAATCAATTGAGGTTAAAAATATGTGCTTGGCTAAGTGCTGAAAGTTTTCCACTTTTGAAAACTAATTCAGGTTCTGTTGAAGGCTCCCAAGATTAGAATCTAGAGATGAGATTAGAATTAGATAAATTAATTAGTATGAGATGAATTGAGATTTGATAATTACAAGAGGAACACAATCTACTACTGTCAAGTTACTGAGATTGATCAACATTTTTGCTTTCGTGTTTGTAATTAACAGTTGATTATTTCTTTAGTTCTTCGGCAAGATCCTTGTGTTTCAAGACAAAGATTTTAATTATTTTAGATTAATTGTCAATCTAGTTCATTGGTCCACTAATACAGGGTGACACAAAAAGTGCAATTCACATAATGTTGAATAAGGTTTTTGTCTGCATGAATTTTGACTTTAGCAGACTCCATAAAGCAACTCCACTAAAATGACTTGCTCAAATGACTTGCTCAACTAGATGCACTCTTATGGTGGATGGCATATTTTTGTATCATCCTGTACAAATTGTTTCGCAGGAGTATTTTTTATAACAGTAGATCAATTTCCATTGTAATAATTCAAAAAAGATTTATTATCAAGTAAAATGTACATCAATGTTATTGTGATTAAAATCTTATTTACATTATCTACTGATGCAGTAAAATATCAGTGTGTGCAATGTTCTGCACACTAATGACTAGAATCAATTTGAAACAGTGCAAGACAAAGTTAACCCATTTCTACTACAATTCTTGAGCAGATTTCTTCACAAATGATTCATGTAAGGTCAATTTTGACTTGCACTGACTGTTCCACTCATACATAATTCCAATTTTTTGTTTTTTAAAACAATGTTTGAGTAAATTTAAATATGCAATTCAGTAAAACCTGTAAAGTGAAATATTTCTGTAAGTGGAACACCTCTACAAGTGGAACATTTTTCACAGTCCTGCAACCTATTGACTTATTGTTAAATCAACCTCTGTAAGTGGAACAACTCTTGTGGAACATTTCAAAATCCTGCACTATGTTGACTTATTGGTACGTGAACCTCTTAAGTGGAACACTTCCCATGTGGAACACTTTAGAGGTACTAAAGGTATTCCACTTATACAGCTTTACTGTACTTCACCACAAGGTGTGCCATAAGAATTTTACAAATGCTGGTCAACATAATTTACATGCTGATATTAGGAAAGCTGGTCCAAACCAAAAGACACTGGTTGAGACCACTTGACCATTGCTCATTTAGCAATTTGCCCCTGCTCCAGAATGAAATGTTATCATTAGATATTGGCATATGGATGTCATATAATATAAAAGTTACATTCCAATTCTATGGGAATATCTTCAAATTACAAAATGTACAGTGATAAATAAATTGTAACAGTACAATTGTTTTAACAGTACAATGTTAATTGCTACTTCCAGGATGATACAATAAAGCTTAATTGCTTCTCATCATTTCCTGATTATGGTGAACCATATGTCTAACTTGTGATATATCTCTGGCAGGATATCAAGGCATCCATACAAGCTTAATACCTAGAAATGTCTATGTATTAATTTTTAGGTTGTGATGCCTTCTCAAAACATACTAGCACTGAAAACAGGTAAATGCTATGAGAAATTTAAAACAAACCCCTATATGTTTAATGATTTTGCTGAAAATGTCCTGATTATTGATATTTGAAAATCTTTGCAACTCATATGTTTTAGAACTCCCAAATATGTTCATCATATAGGTTTTATAACTGCAAAAATCTATTTTCTAAGAGACATCGGCTTATTTGGTAATTTTGTAGTTGTAATAATTCTCGGTTCGTTAGGTGTTACATATTAAGGCATGCAGAGGAATGATAAAAGTCTGTCTGATTCTAGTGTGATACTTTAGACTCATTGATTGGATACATTACAATAAGAATCCACGTTGATCATCATCCATGTTGATGATGATGATTCAATTAATTCATTAGAGATGATTAACAGACCATTTGAAATTGTATGGAAATCTTAATACAATAACTTGAAATGTGTTGTTAATGCTGTAAATGCACAATATAATTTCATATCATATTCATTGTTTAATTGAGCAAACAAAATACATTAAATACATTGTTTATTATATGTAAAACAGGAAATAATAATCCAATACTTGGGTATTAATAATAGATGTAGAGCATATCATGCTCTGTCTATTTCATTTGTTGAATATACATAGTTTTATTTTACATCATATTAGACCAGCTCAGAGGAAATTCTGATTTGAAAATATAAATCTTAGTGTGACAAAAACGAATAATGTTGAACATTGATATAATTAGTTTAACACGATCTACTTTCCTCAATCACGAAACCCCTAGAAACTCAGAAATTATTAAACAGATTATTTCCTACGCTTCCTGTTCCTGTAGTCATATGATTAATATGTGTGTCAACTGATAGCTGTTCACAGAGTTTAATGATCTCTCTTTGCTTAGAATTATACAATAGATGATCTATTTTTGCTCATCATGTTTTTACAGCTGCGATAGAATGGCATTGGCATACACGATCCATTTCAAAATCAATGGTATGATACATTTACAAGAACAGAAATACAAATAATCTCAGTTGTCACAATCAATATTAGTTTCCGTGTTTATTGTTAGAGAAACACAATTATGTCATCATTTCTCATTCAATGTCATTTTTAATGAAACTAATCTACACTTTGTACTACTCACAGAGAGATGACAGAATGTTTGATAGTGTTCAGTGAAACAAAATAATCATAGTATTACACCATCCTTGGAATACCTTATAACTTATTATAGTCCACATCTCTGTGGAGATATTGTATTTAATGATATATTATAACGATAAAAAGTATTACAATTTCTAATAATTTTTTCATAGCCATCAGCTTCGTGTCTCTCATCCTAAAACACATTAACAGACAAAAGCTGTTACATTTGTTTTGTTGAATTGAAAAATAAAATAATACACTGGTATGCTTTATTAAGAATAAGTCATAAATCATGAATATGGTAAAATGAGGATTCATTGAAATGTTCATTATAAATGCAATGTGCATATGTTCATATTGACAATGTTTCTTTATACAATTTGGTGTCATAATCAAGATTACCTTGGTGCAATATGTCACTCTTTGAGAACATTTTATCCATTGTCACCATAAGTGAGCATTTTTGCAGTTCCTGTGGACTGTCAACTTCTGTTAAGTCCTTAGATGAGGGGTCATTTACTTTAGAGCATCCATTCATTTGTAATTTAGTGTCACAGCTATTGACAGTTAGGAGGTTTTTAGAGCAACCATTTTGCTGCTTGTTATCAGATTTCTTTAGCTTAAAAACATTATTTTGGGTTTGGAATTTTGTGAGTGATTTTGATTTCTGATTTTGAATACATGCAGGCATTGATACTGCATTGCTAGGTATGTTGTTATTAACCTGATTGGAATGTAACACAGAGGTCTGAAGATTTGTATGTCCATCTGATCGAAATATTAGTGGCGTAGTTTGCTGTACTTTTGACACAAATTTGTCCCATTCTTTTCGGAAGTTTTCATTTAACCAGCAGTAGAGAAATGGGTTTATACATGCCGAGCTCATCGCAAACACCTTCAAAATCATGTCTACTGTTTTGGTATGTCGACCTGTCACCAAAGTTTTATCGATTTCCAGCAACAACGTGAATCCATTCCAAGGTAACCAGCAAATAATGAAAACACTAACAATTGAAATCAGAATTTTGGTGGTTTTCATTTTCCCGGCAGTGTCTTGTCTTCTGATTGGTCTATTTTTTAAACGTGCGTAGATCCTTGCGTAAATCAATGCTGTCAATATAACAGGAATACAGAATTGGGCGGTGAATAATGCGATGCTATACACTTGTTTTTCTGATTCTCGGGGCCATGTCTCTATACAGTATAATCGGTGGATTTTCAAATCAGGATCGACCACTTCAAAGATATGTGAGAAGAAAAATAAAGGTGTTGCTAAAAGTAAACTGAATGTCGCTATGCTGATTATTATAATAATACATTGTGTTATTGACATCCGTTGACGCAGAGGGTATACGATTAACCAGTAACGATCCATCGCAATCGCCATCATAGATAAAGTACTTGCCTGTAACGGGACGCCAAATGTTGAGAAGATGACACGACACATTGTTTCCCCGAATATCCATGTATCCATTAACTGATAGTGCAGTTGAAATGGAAGATTAAATATACACAGTGCGATATCTGAAATCGCTAAGTTCGTTATGAAGATATTTGTGACATTTCTCATTTGCGGATTCCTGATGACGATGATTACAACGATACTGTTACCAAGCACTCCCAGCACGATGACTGCGACATAAAGAAATATGATGAATCCCCGGAGTCCAGCCTCACGTAGTAGATCATATTCTGGGTCATCTACCCCTCCCTTGGTAAAGTTCGACAACATAGCCTGAAATGCATCATTAGATTCATTTGAGTTAGAGAAGGAAGGTAAGCTAAAGTTAATTTTTAAAGGTACATATCCAAGGCCTGGAATATAATAATATGTCTCATTTCCACGCATTTCCATTCTTGTCATTGTAGATTATACAAAGTTCAAATTTCACGTCTTGGTCATTCCTGAGAAAATATGATAAGATTCATTTAAATTGCTGCTTCATGTATTTTTGTTTCGGCCATGTCTTTTTTGGAAGTTACTGTGTATTTTTCTCCCTGCACTTAATTTTTATCTTCTGCCTTATTTTGTCGTTAAAACTCTCCAACTACTAAACAAGCTTGCCTCTTGCTACTTCTATCTGTGTACTGAAGAATCACCTTGCTGCAATTTGTCCTTAATAAGAGACTATCATCAGGTTTTAATGGCCTTTATACACTTTTGATCCTAATCAATCCCCTTGCACACTTGTATTTATATTGTTTCTCTATAATACTAATTAACAATATCTTCACCTAGCTCAGAACATCTGTATTCTCTGTATACCACACTGGGCAAGGCTTAGAATTCTCCTATATTTATACCCAGAGCTGATCTTCTCCTATTGGTTTGTAGCCAATTTTTCAACAAATTGATTAGCAGTCCCTGCTCCCAAATCTAGTACCTGTCAGTAATGGTTGTTGCTTAGGCATGAACAGGTTCAGGAACCTCAATATAGCAAATGAGCCGTGCCTTATCAAATCTGTCCTAATCCTAATAGGTCTTGATATTAAATCTCTTAATATATTTACATTTATTAGTGGCTTTTCTGTAATTTGAAATTATCTTATTTTCTTTAGGACTTTATCAAACCAGCTTTCTTGCTAATATAGCTAAACTAGATTTCAGACATTACAAACAGATTCTATTCTACGTTTAGTTATATACTTTAACATCACATGCCAAGCTGTTACCTTATATTTCAATGATACTGCTTCTAAAATGCATAAAACAATCCCACGCCTAGTCACATGTAGTTTTCAAATGGATTCCTGTGTGCCTCCTGTATATACATACATAAGGTAAAATAGAAATACTGAGTAGGATGGAACAGACATTTGGAAAAAACGTGCTGAGTTCTTAAATGAGGCTTAATTATCATCACCACAATGTTAATGCTACTTAATGTTGTTCTGGCCATATTTATTGCAATTAGAACAGTTTATTGTAATTCGGACAATGCCCATTGCAACCCATACTGCTCTTTGTCAACGTTTTATTGAAAGGCTTTTTGTCCTTATTTTAGACAATACATACATAAAACTTGACAGAATTACAAGTCAAGTTAATTAAGTCATTTGTCCAATGTATGCTTCCCTTTATCTGATATGAGTAATACAGTTTTAGTAAGCAATTGATATATTTGAAATCAACCTTATCATTAGTGAAATTCTATCTTAGTTGAGCAAAGTAAAGGCTTCGATGTGTCTAAGTGTAAAGTAAACAATACCAAGCACTACTCTCACTACTTATACTTTATAAATATATCAAATACATGATCAACCCTTTTGTTCTTCTATATAGAATTATTTAAAAGTAGTATGATACGGGTCTCCTGACATTTGACATTTGATTAATTTTCTTGGAGCAGAGGCCATCATGATCTGCAAAATTGGAGTGATGCATTTACATGGGAGGTCATATTCCTTATCTTGATATAAATAAATCATAGAATCACTGCTTGTTTTAAGTTCTTAATAACATGTCTGAAACATCAATAGTAATTTAATCATACACACTTTTATCAGAATTAGTGGATTGGTATTTCTGAATGATTCTTTGACAGTTTGTTTTTTGATAATCACAAGTCTCACAGTTGTTTTAAAGTAGAAGTGAAGTAGCAGGGCAGTGGATAGAAAACCTTATTATGATAGTTGAATTAATCAGCTAGAAAGCTAGTACAATCTATTTGTTTGTTTAGTCACAACAAAACTTGTGCTTAACCTACAAACACCCTCATTCTTGTTCAAATGAAATATATTAATGGTAACACAGTAAACTGAATGATCTTGTTGATGCAACTTCTCATGAGATGCGCCATTGGTAACATAAAAAAAGGCAATTCTCTCTTTTCTTACAACTGAGATGATGTTCTCAGTATTGCAAATTGTTTTCAAAATGTCACTAGAACACTTATTTATCAGATCATCTGCATATTTGCATCATGGCATTCAAAAGAATGCAATCATTTTGCAATTACATCATTCTTTCTCTGTTTTTAACACTTTCCATCTGGATATAGATAAAATGATCTCTGTAGTATATACAAAAGTCCCTTTTTACAAATCTATAAAAAAAGTAGTGTGATCACAACTCTATTAAAAAATGGGTCACAGTTGGAAATCATAATTATTAGTTTTTCCTGCAACTACTCGACAGTCACTGAATAGATATACAAAAATGTAACCAAAGCCCATGATTAGAGAAAACTAAAGATATTGGAAAATAATTTTTAAAACAAGCTGTCATTACACAATTTAAATATAACGTTAAAAAACATATGTATAATTCTTACATGATAATTCATTTTTAGCAGTATTTATATCTCAAAGAAATTCACTACTGTTTCTACCATTTCTTTTGTTGGAATCCTTTAGCCTCCTGTTTGATTAATGTTAATGTGAAGGTAATGATAAACTGCCTCCTTATCAGTTACACCAGCAGTTAATTAGCTTTTATGATTAATCCCTGTTCTGCCTTTATACCTTATATTTTAAACAAATCTGTTGCCTATATTTGTAATAAATAATTCCACAATGCCAGAACAAATACTGGGATATCACCTATTAAGCTTATAATCAATATAACTTTCATATGAACAATAAATGTATTTCTGGTATACGTAGATTAGCTTGTCAACTTGTTTAATTTAGCATAGAGGATTGATTTTTTAATCAAATTCTCAATTGTTCTGATTGCATCTATATATTTTAATTATGTAACTGTTCTTTAGTTGTGATTCTTTGAAATATCATGCTAAAAGATGTTAATAATATTTTTCTTGTGGTGCACTTATGTCCTACTAACTCTTTGCATATATCATTTTCATTGAGGTCTGTCTAACCTAGATATCTTTGTAATGATAAAAACATATTGCCCTAACCTTAAAATGATCATTAGCGAAGAATTTCTTTTGTTTGAATCATTTCATTTTCCGAGTAAATTAAACAAGTCTGGCTTTAAAGCAAGGGAGCTTTAATGATAAAAGAAAACATGGAGTAATGCCATGAAAAAAATCAAACAATAAGAATAAATAGAATCAGTCTTTCAAATATATAAGCTCAAGTGCCAATGAGAAAACACCAAAAATGGTTATAGAACAGAGCAAGAAAGAGAAAACATCCAAGAGTACACCAGTTTTAAGGAAACCAAATCCCAACCATCCCAAATTACAATACAACATGAAAAGAAACTAATTTCCCCTCATTTGTATGAGATAGATACCAAATCATTCTATGATATTGAGGAAGAACAGAGGCAAATATTAAAAGCACAAATGTACTTACACTCAGTGTTTTTTTTACATAAGAAGGTTGATGTTTTGGACTTTGATAATTGCTTTTTTGTTTTTCATTATCTGTTTTGAATAAATATGTTTTGAATATCTTTAGGGGGTTCCCTTTAGAAATTTACACTTACATTATAATTCACAGTCATAATTTTAAGGTGCTGGACATTTAACCAAGTTATTACCAAACAAATCAATGGAAAGATTTCAATGTGACAGTTCCTTTGTATGTTAAGTCATTGGTTGGTATGGAGATGTTAGTTTCCATGTTGTGCTATTCAGTATTCAATTTCTATCTATTTTTGATTCTTTTCAGCTTTACCATTGACAATATTGCTTATATATTTACAACATTTATATACTAACGAAACAATTATTAACACCTGTGTTATATGCAAATACTATAATTTTTAAAATAACAATAGCTGTAAAAAGTAACATAAGGTTCAGACATTGTTTTTTCTGAGTCTTTATGCATAATTTCATACTAATGTTGACATTTAATTTTTGATTAAGATGTTTCATTATGTTTAATAACCTACTCCATGCAATGAGTGTATCATTTGTGAGTAGCCTTCACATCTATTTCAAGTCTGATAACACTTAAGAGTTAGAGCTATTAAAGATGTAAGTATAATGTGGAAACAAAACTTTGAATGCAAAAAATTAAAACAAACCCCAATATCCCAAATTGTAATGTGATAGGCCAAGAAACCATGTTTAACACCCCTTCTCGTTCCCCATAAATGAGGAAACATTATCATAATACATGTTGAAGAGCAAAAAAGTTGTAGATACTTGTATTCTCAAATGATATAATATTAACATACGTTCTCATCATTATTTGGGAATGACCAGTAATGCCTAGACGCATGAGATCATTTTAGTTTTTTTTTCTCGATAATTGATATTAAAACCAATTGATTATATTTGGTAGGATTACAATATAAGCTGACACGAGGTCATTAAAATACACTTTTTGTTATTCAGAATAATAAAAGTCTCTTTACGAAATCATAAAACATCGTTTTTTCATCTTTTGAACCATGATTTCCATAAATGACAATATCAGGAGTATGCAATTACGTAAACTGTCATAGTCTGCTGTCTTACATACTTGACAGGGAAGCCATGCCAATGCCAAGATACCATTGTCGTCACAACAAATATTTATAGTGTCATATACAGAATGGAGAAAGATGATTCCTGAGTGAGCATGTAATATCTCCTGACAAGTTCTATTATTTCAGAAAATGTGTTAAGGACTTTACGTAATCACTGGCCTTGAGGAAGCTTCCGAAAGTAGTTATGCAGTGAAATGAAGGAGCTGAAATTAAATGTCCTTCATTAGACACTTTAGCAAAAGAGAATATCACTTTGGCATTACTTAATATTTACATAACATTTGTTCAATGACCTCTCAGAAATTGATAACAATTTTTGTACGATCATTGTTCTATTCTTATAGAATGACCATTCACATTATATTTCATGTTTTTAATTGTGACACATTTAAATTTTATTAAACAAACCAAGACAATGTGGGGAAAACATGAAGTAAGCAAGCAGTTATTTCAATGTTGTTACTAATAAAAATAAATGTTTTTAATATCATGTCTTGTCATTTCAGGGAATATAGAGGAAAAACAAGGATGTTCAAACAGCACAAGTGAAGTATTTTGTTCCTTGGACTTAGTAAACGACCATCAGTAACACGATTATTATTGACAGGAAAAAAGGAAAGTAGCCTCGCCTTTTGATACAAAAGTGCAAATTGGTGAAATAGTACATGCATTGTCAATTTATGAAACAATAATCATAATTTCAGATAGACATTCTTGGTTCATGTAAGAAATTACATGTGAGTACAACTGTATAAGGTTTCCAGTGTTCATCATTTCCAATTCAATCATCATTAACGTGTGTTGATGTCAAACTTACAACCATTTCTGGATGGATTCATTAATATTGTTTTAGAATATGAAGCTTTGATTTTGTAGTCATTCTTAATGTTTTATGCCTCCTATAGACTGCTCATCTTATAAGCTTTTGAAGCCATATAACAGTATATGTCACCTTGTTTTGTCAGCAAGTTTCCTGTTTCAGCATTTTCCAGTGTTCAGTTGGTTTTCATTCAAATATATCTGCTAATCATCATTAGCACAACCATGGTATCATTAGTGGTTAAGATAATGATTCTCCCGAATGTCAGATCACATAATATTACATATAATATGATATTAATTAACAACAAAACTAATATTTGTTTTATTAAACCAGCTGACATGATGCAAAATTATAGACCAAGTGAAATCAACAAATAGTCATGATTTAAGGTTAAACTATAAATCAGAAAGGTCCAGTGCAATGATTGTGAAATATAATTACGAATATAAATGATAAAGTGGACCCAAGTGATCTAATTTTGATTAAACTGTGTTTTCAAGTCATCAATAATGTTATAAGGTTAATGACTCGGAACCACTGACTTGCAATTTCAAATCTTAGAGAAACAGGCAAGTTTCAAACTGTTGACATGAAGTTTAAAGTGTGGGGTGCAACATACAGATACAAATTTACTTAAGCCTGCATCTTTGCATAAGTAACACAGTAATACAAATATTTGTTGTTAACTGATATTGGGTATAGAATGTATATGATGATCATTATTATCTTTCCATTGATTGCTCTTGTATTTTGCTAATTGCTTATAATATGAGTAATTGTTCTTGGGAAATAAAGTAAATTGATATAGAATTTTTAGCCTTTGATGACAATTGACGCCTATTAGATGGATTATTTATTTTGTTATGGTATAATTGCAGTATGTGTACAGTTATCTACTGTCAGGTTGTTTCAGCTAAAGTAGATATGAATTCATTTATTGTATTCCTCAGGTGAGGAGGCAAAAAGAGGATACAACAACAATACAAAACATCATCTAATTGATCATGGAAAATCAAAAATATAGAACAACCAACAACAAAATGATATATTTCTGATAAAACTACTACTGATAAAAAATATAGAATAGAAATTTCAGATGATACATATTTTTCATAGATATTAAGATGATAGAAAATGAAGATGAAGGTCTAGATGCAAACTCAAGTGCTAAAGGAGAAAGATCAAAAAGAAATCCGTACATCCACTATACTAAAGGAACTCCCAACATCCAAATAGTTAACAGTTGACATATGAGGTCTAAAATAACCAGGATTCACATAGTCCATTAACTTAGGAAACACAGCATATATATTACTCATAAAAAGAGAAAGTAGCAGAAAATATGTCTCATAAAACCATGATATACTATCACATAATACTTTGTTCATAGGTGTAAAAGTATAAATTCTGAAATTTAATGATATTATTGACAATAGATTTAGACAGATTAGATAATGATTTGATGATCATGATAAATTTTGCAATTGTTTAGGCAATATTTATATAAAATAAGGTATATAAAGTAGATATAGGTAGAATGAAAGATTTAACGATACGAGATAATTGTGATAATCATCATTCATCCCATTATTTCTCCTTGAAGGACTTATCCAGGAAATCCAGCAATACAGTATAGAAGGCATGATTTATTAGATTGGTTTATCAAAGTATATGTACAATTAAGTACACTGGTAATTTTACAAATACAAGTATGTGTCCTTCATTGGTTAGTATTTTATGTATTGCGCAAATAGTCATTTTTTGTACTTGCATTTAAAACTGTGATGCTGAGAAAATATATATATACAGGGTGGTAAAAAAATGGAAATCCTGCATTTTCCTTATATCTTTGTCACTTTAAAATATTACTCCCTGATATTTCACACATTTGTACATCATTCAATTTCCTCCCTCCCTACCATATTTCATGACCATCAGGCTGACAGTCACAAATTTATAGCACTATGAATAACATGCTTCAGATTTGACCATCATCGCACTATAGGCAAAACAGCACAGTTGTCAATGACCTGAATGCATTCCTCAGCAGGTATGGCCTGAATGACACAAATGATCTCACTTTTGAGGTTTGTAATTGTTCTGAGGTCATTCTCATATACTCTATCTCTGCCATATCCCCACAGGTAGGGACATTTTAGACGATGGATACAGGTTTCCCCACAACGCAATAGTGGCCACTGGGCATGTTCTTTAAAGTACTGAAACATTGTGACTATCAATCTGATGGTCATGAAATAAAGTAGATTGGTAGCAATGGAATGATGTACAAAAGTGTA